AAGATTTCATTTTCTTTACTTCTTAACCAACAGTTCAGAATAGCATCTGTCCACCTCTCCCTTACAACCCGATTTATTATTCATTATTCAGCATAAAAAAAAGCATAATTGATCATTCTGGCGCATATAAACCCAAACACTCCCCTATCTCCCATCCCTCTCACCTGAGACACGTTTAGACAGAGTCTGCAGTTTTCATTTGTTCATTTGGGTTTTTTTTTTTTTTTGAGCCAGTTGGGTCCGTATTGTGTTTTCCATTATCTCTTTACTGTAAATTAAAAATGAATGAGCTCAGAGTTTTATTGGAGCTATTTGGCCTGAGAGCGTACTCAGAGATCAAACGGGGCAGCTGAGGGGGGGAGTGAAACTCCTCGTCTTTAGTCACTAATCTTCCTCTCCCCCTCCCTCCCCTCTGATTCCCCCCAGAGGTGTTTGCATCCTCCTCTCCTGTATGAGGTGCTACCAGCTCAGATGAGGGTTTAATTTAAGAGTGCAGCTGGATTTTACAGCTGTTCATTGACGGCCATTGCTCCCCTTTTTCATTGCAAAACTGCGGGATTCTGGTTGCATTCAAGTGGTAATGGGTTTCATAAAAAAGGAAGTGAATCCACATGTGGGGACTCGCCCCGGTCTTTGCTTGTTGACACAGTTGAACTTAAGAACAGATGGGAGTTTAGTTTGCTGCTGAGGGCCCCTAGTAGTCATAAAGCTGAATTACACCTTAGATTTATAAATGTAAGAGGAAAAAACACTGCTGACAAGAGCTGGTGTGCAATGAGGTTGTACTTCATTAAGAGTAGCACTACTTCATCATATTTTTACTCAAGTAATTCAATCCAGTTTATTTATATAGCGCAATTAACAACACAAGTCATCTCAAGGCTTTTTACAGTTCAACCAGATCATCCAGTCAAATTGATTCAAAGTTTTCTATCTAATGAAAACCAGCTGATTTCATCGACTCATTGACTCGAAGACAATCCCTCACACTAAGCATGCTTGTAGCGACAGTAGAGAGGAAAAACTCCCTTTTAACAGGAAGAAACCTGCAGCAAAGTAAAAAGTAGCTTTTAAAGAAAATACTCAAGAGTAAAAAAAGTATTTGGTAAAAGGCTTCTGATCTACTTACTACCCATGATTATTTTTATTAAATTATGTAAAAGCATTATGAAAATTCTGTTTGTTTTTTTCTTCTCAAAAATAGGATAAAAATAAAAATTTAACATACAGTAATTTACAAAACATTTAGGTAAAATGAACACTTAAAATAAATCGAGGTATAAATATTTACAGTATGTAGAGTAGGTTAATTTACTGTATGCAGTTTACTGTTTTTTCACTCAAGCTCCAAATAACATGGTAGAAAAAATAAGATTAATAATAAGAAGAAATTATCTCTCACAATGGTGCATATTGTTTAAAACAAGCTTCCATTGAAGTTAACCATAAACAACCAGAAAGTTTACTTGAGTCGTGATGATTTATCTTTTATTTATTTATTACTAATTATTTAAACATTAAAAATGGAATGCTGTAAATCTACTCTTAAAGTACATTTTTTCCAAGAAGTGACTAAAGTAAATGTAACTGAGTAAATGTAACTTCCTGTTGCCTTGTGGGCAGAGGCTTCGCAGCATTCGATGCAGGACCAGCAGATTCTGTAACAGTTTCTTCGCCATCAGACTGCTGAACTGTTGAAAAAAAGAATTTATTTTTTTTTTATTAATGCCACAGACTCTGCATCACAGTAATAACACCAAACCAAAAATACTGCATATTTGCACCTTATATATTAATGCTCTGAACTTCCATATCAATGCATTTTTTTTGCATCATGTTATTCCTCCCATACCGTTTACATCTGATCAGTGTTTCACACTATGGAATAGAAATCTTCATTTACTTTCTGACGTGTTTTGTATACACTGTGTATACAAAATGAAAATAAAAGTTGTCTAAGTAACTAGTGTCTACCCCCCTCACTGCTGCTATCATGTGGAAGACTCTAACTTTTCTTTTCTTCAGGTTGCCAGACTGTGGGGGATGCAAAAGAACCGTCCAGCCATGAATTATGACAAGCTCAGTCGTTCTCTGCGCTATTACTACGAGAAGGGAATTATGCAAAAGGTTGGTAAAAACACACCATGGGGTAGCATTAAATGCATGTCTAATTTTAACTACATGTCACATTATAACTACAGACTTCAGTGGAGTTTGTGTCAGACCAACAACGAGTATAATTGTTGGTGCATAAGGATACATATGGAAAATTCCCATTTTATCACCTGAACAATTATGGAGTCATTGAAAGCTGTGAGATGGCGATCTTATTTGAAGTTTTTCTCTTTCTAGGTGGCAGGGGAGCGTTATGTTTACAAGTTTGTGTGCGAGCCTGAAGCACTCATCTCCCTGGCCTTCCCCGACAATCAGCGGCCGAGCCTAAAGGCCGAGTTCGAGCGCTACGTCAACGAGGAGGACACGGTGCCGTTGTCGCACCTGGACGAGGGAGTGCCCTACACCCCAGAACAAGCCCCCCAAAACATGACCCACCAGCCCTACTCCAAAGGCTACATGTACTAAAGCCAGCCCACCCGCGTTTTCTTCTACACCCGCCTTCAGAACTCCTGTCGTACCAACATCATCATCATCACCCTAAAACCCTGCCATGCACCTCTTGCACATGCCCACCCATCCACTTGTATATAAGGCTATGGTGTTTTTTGTTTAAATTAATCTCATTAGAGATTTTTTGTTTTGTTTTTAAAAGCTGTATTGCTCCCACTTCCGAGGCCTATTCAAATACCTAAACATTAATGTGGTTCAAGAGATTGCTTAATAATAAATACCTACAATAATACCCCACAACTAGAGTCCAGACTGTTTTGTTTTTTTCTAATGAAAAGCACGTGGATGGCTTTTTTATTTGCATTGACGTGGAACCAAATATGTTGATGTGGAGTCATTTTTTATTTTTTAGTAATGCATGTGGTGAGCACACCTGGTTTTCATTTGATGAAACATTTTCTACAATTCTTCTAAATAAAAGGTGGGAGAGTCATTTAACAATGGCTATTGCTGGTGCAATATACAAACCTGGTGCTGGTGAAGATTCTTAGTCATTCAGTCAGTCATTCCAAAAAAAGTTTTAAAAAAAATAATCCACTGGACTTTGTTTCTAAGTTTGAAGATGTTTTTGCTTCCAATCCAGGAAGCTTTTTTGAATTGGAAAAAGCTTCCTGGATGGGAAGCGGAACGTCTTCAAACTTGGAAACAAAGTCCAGTGCATTATTTTTAACTTAAAGTCATAATTAATGGCAGATTAGGGCCTCAAAGTGAGTTTAAGAACTTTGGAGATGTAAATACCACCACCTGCTGGTCACTGTAGGTACAGCAGTCCATCTTAAAATAAATATTAAAATGAGCTCTGTGCCTTATACAGGCTGATCTAAAATAAAAATAAGAAGCCAATTCATTTTGTGCCTTGGATAAAAAAAATAATAAAAATCTATTAATTGAATGTAGTGATTTGAAATGATCCAAGTGAGTGCTCCTTAACCCTTTAAAGCCCGATCCAAGAATAAAACAAAACAGAAAATTACTTTTTTTTTGGTTTGAAGTCCTTATTTGGCCTTTTAACAAAATATGTAAAAAGAGAAAACAGAAATACATTTTTGATAATTTATTACTATGCGATAAGTCAAGATTATTTTTTGTAAAGTCTTCTGCCCTCTGTTATCAGGTATATCTGATTGTGTACAATAGGATTTTAAGCAAAGTTTTTACCATTGAATTATGCAAAAGGTGTCAGACGCAAAACATTTCAGAAACCGTATGTATCAAATATGATACATTTGGCATTACAGGGTTAAAGCTTATTACTACAATGTTTAGTGGAAGGAAAAACTTTTAATGGCGCCGTTTACATTTCACAAATTTCTGTGGGTTATTTTCCTAACAGATAAAAAAAAAATTTTAATATTTTTTTTTCCTCTGGAAGATCAACAGCACTCTCAATGACAAACCTCTTGTGTACATCATCATGTCCGCCTTCCTCCATGACAGAAACGGAAAAGGCCAAACCTTCCAGAGGCCATCTGCAGTGTTTTCCATTACGCTTCATCAGCATTAATTCACTTACCAACAGGACTTTGTTAAAGTCGAACTATGAGTCAGAGATGGCAACCATGGAGTGGGAGGGGGGTCTTCCCTCAGGGTATCTAGAGACTGAGTCATATCTGTGTTAACTGGGTGATAATCATCTCCAGCTGTGACATGGTAACAGGCCTGCTGCAGGAAAATTAAGAAACAAGCTAATCTCAACTCTGAAGCATCGGACATAAGAGATAAATCTACTTTTTAATGACTTAAGTTACAACTGAGCAAAAAAAGATAAGATTAGATGCCAGAAGAGCATTTAGGAAATGTGTTTTGCGGAGCTGAAATTCAGTTTTAATAGTTGTACACATTCACATCTGTCTGAATACATGAAGCAAAAATAAAAGTTCTGGTCATTTTTAATGTTGACCCAGACCATAAACTGTGATTTTTTTTTTTTAAAGAGTCTTTGTGAAATCCTTTTTTTTTTTAATTAGGAAATACTATTTAAAATGAGACAATATATTAGATTTAGCGATTAACAGCAAACAGTTTCATCAAGGAGGACATAACTGAAAACATGAAGTATAATAAATTCAGTTTGACTTTTTGCTGTAATAAAATAAAGCAAGTGTTGAACAGGAAGAACCTGTTAAACCTTTTATTAATTGAGGAGCACAAACTAATTATAAAGTATAAAAGGAATTTGTTGATCGCAGTGTTGGGATATTTTTACTCTACCCAACAAGTCATCTTCAAAGCTGCTTTTTAAAGAATTAAAAATGGCTGCAAACGAACAAACTTTTTTATGTATATTTTATGCATATTTTAAAACATGCCAAATTGTATCAAAAATTACAAATTTCCTCTAAAATATTTTTTCTTCATGAAATAATCCATTAGACTAAAAAAAGATTCTCTTTAATGAGAACATTTAAGGTTTACAGTCACAGATACACAGATTTGCCCCTTTATAAAACATCAAACATGTTTCATTATCCTGCTGGTTAGAAATACAAGAGCTTAAAGAGTTTAAGATAAAAAGGCAAACTCCATTTGCATCAGTTGAAATAAACAGGTCGTCGTTTTCTGGACTTTTAAATTGATCACAAAAAGAGCTTGTCTTTAGTTGCTTAGTTTCTTTAAAAGAAAATTACTAATTTGACATCACGGCTACTAAACTAAATTTAAATCGTTGAAAATGTTTGAATGAAAGAAACAAAATGTACAATTTTTACAAAAAGAAAAACTTTTTGTGAGAGGAACCCCAAAACCCATCGCTTTCTGACCAATCTTAAGCAAACAAAGGTTTTGACAAAAACACCGTCCAGAAATCCAGGCTGTGGACTAATGATATCATACAAAAATCAACGGCGTCTGAAGGCGCGGGAGATTCTCCAGGCGTTCGGTTCCTCGTAACGGTTGTATAACGGTTCCAGGCGTTGCTGCTTCTTCTGCTTGCTGAGGCGGGTGGGGTCGGAGACCTTGAAGAAGGCGGGCGCGAATTCGACCAGCCATCGAGGATCGATGGTCGTCACCTCCCTCATGTACTCCTTGGTGGTCAGCACAAGCTCGTGGTACACAACCCTGTTAGAGAAAGAGAACTTTAGATATCTCTGTACTGAAGGGTGAGGCAGTGAACGGGCTGGTAAAGAATCATCGTCCTTCACTCTGTTAAAAAAAAAATATATTAAAAGAAAAAGACTAAATGTCCAAAAGGATGAAAGTTTGAAGTTTAGAACTGTGCCTACGCCACCTGGTGGCAAACAGAGGAAGCTATGAACTAGATTCCTAAAGAGGCAGCAAATAAATTTGGAGCAATGACTGAAAACATTTAAAGTCATATTGCTTCCTCCATCCCTGGAAACCTGCAACATATAGAGAGCCAGATGGTTTCAGTCAAGAAGAGGAAATCCTGGGTGAAAATATCTGTAAAAAGCTGAAGCTCAGCCTCATTGGACCTTAAAACAAAACAACGAACTTAATCTTTTATTAATGAAGGTTTGATTTAAAGAAAGTTCTGGTCATCGTTTCCAAATGACCTAAAGTGTTTTTAAAACAGCCAATGAACTGGATCCTCTCCTTAGATTCTGCCAGGAGAAGGACTCATTCATCAAAAGGCTGCTCTAATAATTAAAGATGCTCGTTAGGCAACGGTTTGATCATTTTAGGCTGAAGTAATTTGAAAAATAAATAAATAAGGATGTTAAAATGTTTGTTTTTTTTGTTTTTTTACGCAGTGTTTTATGAGCAGATTTAAAAATAGATTAAAAAGAGCTGCATAAACTTAAAATGTTTAAATAAAAAGAAAAACAAGTTTGTAAACAAAACAACTGTCAAGATATGGCGCCTCCTTTCTATGTGAATTGAACATGTGTTCGTACCATTCAGGCTGTCTGTTGAACAGAGCGCTGGAGGGGTGGATGTAGACAACTTGCTGGTCGATCAGTGTTCTGTAGCCTTCCTGGGGATCCTTCTTGGCTGCATTCCTGAAGAAACCGCTGCAGATGGCCTTCTGGACTCGCACTGTGGCTTTACCGCAGGACACCACATCCAGTTTATGTCTGTAGGAGGAGAGGAAAGGAGTAAACGGAGAAGGCATGTGATATTTCACCCTGACACACTATTCTGTCATGCAACAAGGAGGAGAAATCCCACCTGTCCATGATTCCCAGCATCTGTTTGCGGATATCCTGAGCTCTGCGCAGGGAGCGAGCCTGGATGAAGTTCTCGTAGCACCAGGGGTTGGAAAACTTGTTGTTTTTCCATGAGTTGTATACGGCCAGCAGGGTGAGGTGGTCTCCCTCAGGTTGGTGGAACTTTGCCTTCTTCTGGTCTGCCAAGGCCTGCTTGTCCTGTAAACACAGTGGATCCACTCAGGAATAGAGCTCGCTACGATTTACACATCACAGCTGCATCTCGAAAGCAGATTATCAGAAAAAAGCTCAAAATCTTCTGTCATTCAATTTAGAAAGTGACAATAATGCATAATCTAGATTCCATTCAAGTCTTCGCTCCTTTAAAAGTTGATGATTAGGGCTTTCAAACTGCAAAAATCCAACATTTTGACACAAAATTAAAAAAGAAATCAGGATACTGAAAAGCTAATTTCTATATACTCAGTACTTGCTTGCATCTACTTTTGCATGAATTACAGTGTTACAGGTGGCGTAAATTAGTATGTTAATGTAAGTGTGCAGGTGCCAGTTGCTGATTGGTTCCAGGACGATGACGACATGACATCCCATTGGTGGCTTCCTGGAAGTGACAACTATAAAAAGGCTGCTGATGTGGACTTCCTGGTTCCGTCCTCCACTCTTCCCAACTGGCCACACTGTTAACATCTGAATATTCTGGAGCTTGTAAGAGTGAGCTGCCATTTCTGTTGCTTAAGTTTTCTCCTGTTTTCTTAGTTTGGGAGTTAAGGTGACTGTTATTTGTTTACCTATACTGCAGCAGGTAAGTTGGTTCATTTCTTTGTTTTAGAAAGTTGCCATTTGTTTGTTATTTTTTGCATATAGCTCTCTCTCAAGTCATTTGCTCCATTTATGATGTAGCTTTAGAACCATTTTCCTTTTTGTAAATAAATCCCTTTCTAAAGATGTGCAACTTCGTATGTGTGAGCTGCTTGGGATGGGAAGCGGATGGATCCACTCTTTAATATGTTATGGTCTGGCAACCCTGGACGGGTCGTAACAACAGCATCAGTGTGGCACAGCATGGAGACTTTGATCCTGTGGTTCAGTTCAGGTGTTCAGGAAGACCATGTTGGTTAAACAGTGGTTGCATTGTTGGACCAGTTGCCTCATCTGTCTTGTGAAGAAACTTTGTAGATTCTCTACGCGGCTCAGGTCACATTAGGCAAGCTAATCAAGCACTGGGACACCATGATGGCTGAACCAGGTTCTGGTACTTTTGGTAGTGTGAGCTGGTGTCAGGTCTTGCTGAAAAATCAAAGCATCCCCTGCATAAAGCCTGTAAATAAAGGGAAGCTTAAGCTTTGCTCGGAAATTTCCTCATTGATTGTTGCTCTGGCTTTGGACTTAGAAACACAGCAGCAGATTAACCTGACTCCGCCAGATGGATTTGCTCCGCATATCCATCTGGAAACCTTCCGTTGAAGTAATTTTGGGAAGGGGCGAAAATACTGGTTAGCTGATTGGCCTATGTTGGTGATAGACGGGCCAAATAAACCAATCAGATCAACGAAGCTTATGACGTACTAACAGAGCGACGACGAAAACACAAGCCAATTAATAGATCAAACTCTTGCCCAAACCAGTTGGGAGAAGAGCAAAAACATCTTTTCCTCTGAGAAAAGCCTCCAGAGCAGTGTTTTGCTCTTCTTTCAGTGAAAAAATACTCTGTAATTCCGATAAAACTTGCTCGATAGCCACGCTAACGCTAGTTTCATCGGCTGAAGCCGCCATGTTCTTTAGACTGAACTGTCACGCTTCTCGTTGCGTCACACCTCAACTCGCCTCAAAGCCAACGCTGATTGGACGTTCGTTTGGTGAACGGCTCCAAATTTTATTTAACGGAGAGTCTCCAGACTGATCTGCGAGTGAAACCTTGAAAGCTCGCGAGATCAGGATGGTCTCACGAGGCTACCAGCAGATGTCATTGCCCTCAAATAGTCAAATAAAACCTTCAAACTGAACTTCCAGCAATCCAGACTCCATCTCTCTGCTCTTCCTCTAGAACATTGCTTTTCAAATAAAAATTTTTTTTTCATCTACATAGAGGATTTTGAGCTACCAGCCAACTGTCCATTCCTACTCCTTAAGTCAAGTCAGGCGTCCCCAAAGTCGTTCCTCGAGGGCCGCTGTCCTGCAGGTTTCAGAGGTTTCCTTGCTCCAGCACAGCTGATTTTAAATGAAAGCTGATTAACAGGGTTTTTGCTCAACTGCAATCCTCATAATCAGCTGTGCTAAAGCAGGGAAACTTCTAGGATCAACTTTGGGGATGCCTGATTTAAGCCATTGCTAATGTCATAGCTTTCAAGTCTCCCATTTTGGCCAAGAAACTACTGGATTTTAACCCTCTGTCCTCCGGTATTCGCAGTCTCCTGTACATTTCCCACATTATTGTATTATAAAATGATATAAAACATTGATCTTCCTCCTGAATTGAAACTGCCGCTAGCATTGCAAGTCAAAATCTGTTCATCTGCTCTCAGCTGATGTTGTAAAAATTTCCGTATTTTAAAATCCAAAACTTGACGGGAATGGTCTCTGGTTCATAAATGACTTAATGTGAGGAATGAAGAAATTTAGCTTTAAGAGGCCGATGAAATTCTTGAATGGTGAATGTTAATGATCCCCTCATAGTTATGTTTATCCCTGTTGCTAGGGAATCTTTCCTGAATGTACTTTTTCCTTCCACTCAACTTTCTACAAGTATGTTTGGATGCCACCCTCTGAACTACTAGCTTCTGCTGGACGGAGCTTTTCTGGCCTCACTTGGTTACTAGGCAGCATCTTTTTTCCAAAATGGCGACTAAATAACATTTATAAATCTAAAAGCATCTTCCCCCACCAGACTTTAGGTTATCATATCTGTTGCAAGAAACAAAAACTTGACATTTCAACGTATGTGCTTATAGGATTAATCTAATCTTAGAGTTTTGCTTTCTACATCAATTAACCAAGAAAATATTGTGGCTTTTAGAAATTTCCTACAAGGTTTTAAAAAGAAAATGAATTTCACATGCAAACCAAAATATGTTAGGGGAAGCTTTTTGGAACCCCAACACATTTTATTAGATCCACTGGATTGATAAGACTTCAAGCTTTAATGGACATAAAAGTATTACTTATTACACTTCCTTCCAGAGAAGATTTTTACATTTAGGATCTCAAATAGGTTAAAAAAAAGTTTTACTTTAACTCTGAAAGCTTTTAAAATCCCATGTTTGTAAATAAAGCCAGAAATGGAGGATGTACCTTTGGCCTGTAGAAGACGTTCTGCACAGACAACATGGACACAATGGTGAGCATCTCTTCACTGCAGCCAAGGTGGACGGACATGATCAACATCTTACACAACATGGGCTCCAGAGGAAACTCTGCCATCTGGAAGTCAAATTTTAAGGTTACCATGAGGAGTTTCAGAAAAACAAATCAGCCAGACGCATTAAGAAGCTCATTAATTAGTCCAGAAGTGGCAGATTAGTGATGAAACGATTTCTTTTTTTGTCAAAACTGAGGTTGTTAGAGTCTGAGCTCACCCTTCTCCCCAGGCGTGTTAGTAAGCCTTCATCATCTAGAGCTCCTAAAGTGTAAAGCTGCTCCATGGCTGTGATCAAAGTCTCCATAGGAGGAGCATCCATAAAGTCAAAAGACAGGAGGTCATTGATGCCCATGGCCTAGCAGAGAGAAAGAAAATTAGTTAAAACTCTAAGAAAACCAGCATGTGAATAAATCCATTAAGATATAATGACTGTAAATCAAACAGGATGTTTAACCTTTAAAGACAACACTGTGCTGGCCAGGTTGGTCCTCTGGATCTCAGGAACATTGGTAGTCAGCATCTCGTCTCTGTAAGCTCTCTCCGTGTAGAGCCTGTAACATTTCCCAGGACCAGTTCTTCCGGCACGACCTGCCCTTTGTTTAGCCTGGGCCTAAAATCAGAGCCAATCAAACTATCTTTTAATATTGGGAGTCCTCAATGAACCATAAACCTCCGAAGAATCTATGAATCCAACCTGTGAAATGGGAGTCACCACCAGCTGATCGATACCAGTTTTGGAGTTGTACACCTTCTGTTTGACGAAGCCTGGATCCACCACGTAGTAGATTCCATCGATGGTCAGAGAGGTCTCTGCGATGTTTGTAGCAATTATGACCTAAAGAAAAGATCAGAAGATTTTGAACCAAGTACCATCCACTGGATTTTATCTTGTAAACAAAAATTGGAAGAACCCAAATGGCATCTATTGGAACTGCATCTTAAATCCCAGATGGAGGCATTTTTAAGTGCAGCCCTTCTCGTTTTTGGTGATACAAATCAAAACACTGTGACTGTCTCACAGCTTAACCCAGAGCAATTCAAACTTTTTAAAATGGCCACTGGTTAGACATAAATTCCTGCCTATGCTGTTGCTGCAAAATAAAAATAAAAAAAGTTTAGAAATGTTGATGCTACAGGTCTGTAGGTGTCCAAATTCTGTTATACACATTTGACCATTTATTGGATCATTTAAAACGCATTCTGATCCATAGGTTAAAAATATAAACCAAGTTGCTCTCACACTTAATGCACGACAACATGCGGCCCAGAATAAATGCTAACCTCAAGCCCCACCCATTGCTTTTATGCTTTTATCATTGGCTCATGTCAATAATTTTCATAAACATCACTGCATAAGAAGGTATAGAAGACGTAATAGAAGAGGGCGTGAGTAAAACGGGTTGTGAGAGAAGCCGTTTATTTTACACAACGCGACCGACAGGATGACCGGTTTGACTAAAAACTCTGGGTTGTGCTTTAATAGAAGGTTAACAGGCAGTTGAAAACAAACACACCCAAAACACTGACCTGAAAATCTTAGGAGGAGCTATTTTATGGAAGATGCAATTTCATATCAATTTTCCTTGGATTACTGAAATAAAAAGACTACAGATGCCTTCAAACAGCAACCGTGGGACTTTGGCAAAGCCAAATTACCGCATTTTTGCGACTATAAGGCGCATATAAACGTCTTTTTTTTTTCTCAAAATGTGCGGCGCGCCCTATAGTGCGGTGCGCCCTATGTGTGTTGTTACTGCGGACGTTGAGAACACCATGAGAACGTTAAAGGGGGAAGTGTGGGCGTGGATTGTGTATAAAAGACCAGGTATGTGCTTTAGGCAAAACATTGTTGTCTTAACAACCCTGAAAATGGAGAAGAGACACGCCTATGAAGCACAGTTTAAACTGAAGGCTATCAGCTACGCAGAGGAACAGGAAAATCGAGCAGCTGCGAGAGAATTCAAGATTAATGAATCGATGGTTCGCAAGTCGAGGAAGATGGAAAACGAACTCCGACAGGTGAAGAAGACGCAGCCGAGTTTCCGCGGACATAAGGCGAGGTGGCCCGAGTTGGAGGAAAGACGCTGGATGGATGAGGAGATGATGAAAGCGTGGCTGAGGGAGGTGTATGTGAGGAGACCAGGTGGTATTTTCCACGCATCACCATCGCTGTTAATCTGTGACTCCATGCGTGCCCATCTCACAGCCAATGTGAAAAACATGGTGAAACAAATGAACGCTGTGCTTGCTGTTATTCCGGGAGGTCTGACAAAGGAGCTTCAACCGCTCGACATCGGTGTGAACCGGCCGTTCAAAGTAAGGCTGCGAGCGGCGTGGGAGCGATGGATGACAGACGGAGACCACAGTTTGACGAAAAGTGGAAGGCAGAGCCGGGCAAGTTACGCCACCGTTTGCGGATGGATTGTAGATGCTTGGACTAACGTTTCTGCTGGGACTGTTGTTCGAGCTTTCGCAAAAGCCGGCATCATTTCCAAGGAGCCGCCCGGCACGGAAAGTGACTCTGACAGCGAAGAAGGGGAAATCGGCATGTCTGATTTAGTAAAGCTGTTTAATTCAGAAACAGAGGATGATGACTTTGATGAGTTTGATTAATACATGAATAAAGCACAAACATACTCAGTTTTGCTCCCACTCTATTTTTAAATATGCAGTAGAGGTATTTAAACGTAGTAGATGACATGTACCGGTATAGAAAACCCGCGCCCTATAATCCGGTGCGCCTTATGTGTGTGTTAAATACAGAAATGACACACATAACTGAGACTGCACCTTTTAGTACGGTGCGCCTTATGGTCGTGAAAATACGGTAGGTAGAAAAGGAAAATATTTTTACAGCATTATTAAACAGTATTCTTATAAAAATTATGAGGCTGCCTGTATAAATAAAGGTTTAAATAAAAATTATCTTATTATGGTCATTATTAACAAAAAAAACCTACTTATTGAATTTTGATGCTGGTATAACCGCAGTAAAAAATAAAAAAATATGTTTCTGTTTAGCTGGTAGGGACTAAAAAATTTGTCAGGATCACCACAAACAAAAACAGAGTGCTAAAATATGGGAACAATCTGGGACATTTTCTCTGTTATGTCAGGTGTGTTTTTTTTTTATTCAAGCTCATATTATTCAAGTCGCTACTCTGTTTTCTACAGTTAACCTCACCTCTGGCTCAGGTCTTCAACTGGAAGTCTCCTGGTTTCAAACTAACGTGTTTGGTTTGAGTTTTATACGCACTTTTTTTTCAGTGTGTACCTGTTTATGATTTAAAATATATTTGCTTCTGGAAGAGATTTAGGGAAGTTAGAATGCTAAACAAAGGCAGGCAGAAACAGTGCAACTCTTCTAAAGTACCTTTCTGCTCCCTGGAGGTGCAGGATCAAAGATTCTGGTCTGCATCTCACTGGGCAGAGCAGAATAAACTGGAAGGATGATGAGTTCAGGGACATCAGGTCCAAGAGACTTCATCCTCTCATACAGAATCTCACAGGCAGTGTCGATTTCTTCCTGTCCGGTTAAAAACACCAGGATGTCACCTGTGCACAAAGAGGAAACAACATCGACGTTAATACTGTGACTTAAGCGCTGTTTAAATGTTTGATGCTCTTATTTTCCTGCTGACCTGGAGGCTCAGTCAGATGAATCTGCATGACGGTGATGAGGCTGGCGTCTAAATAGTCTGTCTCAGGTTCCTTGGTGTAAAGAACCTCCACTGGATATGTTCGGCCTGGGATGGTGAAGATGGGGGCTTCATAGAAATATTGGGAGAACTTCACAGCGTCCAGTGTGGCCGACGTTACGATCAGCTTCATGTCTGTGCGTTTCTGAACAGTCTGAAGACAGATAAACACTCAGAAAAGTTCTCCACTGTCCACATCGAAAGAAACATGCAATAACCTTTCGTCCCTGTAGCTTACCTTCTTAAGGAGACCAAACAGAACGTCAGTATGGATGGTCCTCTCGTGGGCCTCGTCCAGCATGATTATGGCATACTGGCCCAATTCGGAGTCGATCAAACACTCCCTCAGCAGCATACCGTCTGTCATGTACTTGATCACCGTCTCAGGGCTGGTGCAATCTTCGAATCGGATGGTATAACCCACCTGCAGAAAACAAGCAATACCTCAAGACATTTAACAACAGAAACGTTCCTATGACGACGGTGCGGATCAACAGAAGTACTGAAGGAGGAAAAGCTCACCTCTTGTCCCAGACAGCAACCGTACTCCTCCGAGACCCTCTTAGCCACCGACATGGCGGCGACACGGCGGGGCTGCGTACAGCCGATCTTCCCTCTGGTGGTGTAACCTGCCTCTGCCAGGTACTGAGTGATCTGGGTGGTCTTCCCAGAGCCAGTCTCTCCAATGACAATCAGGATCTGGTTGTCATGAACCGCCTGTGACACAACGACAGAGAGTAAATGATACAGCATTAAGATTTGCGTTTTGTCTGCAACCACAGATCTGTTAGTAACCAAGATTATCAGCTAGTTTATCTGTTAAGATTCTCATTCATCCAGGTCAAGGATGACCACAAGGATGTTGTTAATTGTGGATTATCTTGTGTGGCTTGTTGTATAAATATAAATATACATGTATTGCCTCTGGGGCATGTAACAAAAGTAATTTCCCTCTGGGATTATTAAAGTATTTCTGATTCTGAAACCTGTCAAGTTCAGTTTAGCAAAACTAGAAGTTGAACTTCACGTACAGTTGCCTAAACTGAACTTTTTAAGCTTATTATCAGTTAGTCTTAAACTTTAATCTTTTTTTCCCCTCACATAAATCAGCAACGCACCATACTTAAATGCTAACAGGACCCACTCTACAGTAGGTGATTGATTGCTCATTCAGGGTTCCTACAGCATAAGGCATGTTAAATTCAAGACTTTTTAATGCCACTTGAAATAAAAATTTAAGACCAAATTCACAAGAAACACAAGAAAAACCTGCTTGCGACAACCTAACCCAAAGGTTTATTATAACATAAACCCCTGCACTAATGTTTCAAATTTTGAAAAGCCTCCCATACAGGAAGAAAGCTAAAAACACACAAAGGACAGATATATTTTAACAATTATTTAACTGAATTCACAAACTTTGTTTTAGCAGGGAACAAAACAAATCAGTTTTAAAGCCACAACATAACCAGTGCTAAGTCTTTTATGCAGCTATTTTTCTTTGTATCGTTTTCTTAGTATGTTTGATTTGGTGACTCGTTTTTGATGCTTTGTGTTTCGTGCTTCGCATGTGTGACTCCACTGCCTTAATTCCCATCGTTCTGAGCTTGAATGACTTCTTGCACAAAATCCACTGAGCCTCATGTATGTTCCCTGGTTTTATCCATGGAGAAAACTCTTGGCTGGAGACCATTTTACGTTACATTTACACTTGCTCATATTTTCCAGACAAAAAGTAAATGGTGCATCTCCCAAATGTCCCGGCCGCAACAACGCTTTTATTGGTTCCGCTATCGGGACGGAACCAATAATGGCGAGCCGTTATTTTTTTTTTTTATACAATAAAAAAAAAAAATTGTCAATTTTAATGTTTTATTTAGATTATAAAAATAAATTGTAATAAAAATAATCCTATTTATGATGTTTTAAAAATTAAGACCTACGAAAGACTGATTTAAGACATTTTAATGCCAATAAAGGTCTTTTATATTAAAGAATTCAATGCCTTTTAAGACTTTTTAAGGACCCGCGGGAACTCTGTATAAAGAGCATGCAGCTGATTAGTACCAGTTTCTTCTGGAATGTTTTAATGCTGAAAATTGATCAGCGGATGGATATTATGCATTTTGAGAAAACATTTCAAACAGTGACAATATTCTCCAATGGTTCCAGTAAGATAAGATAAGAAATCACCTGAATGAGCTGCTCCTTTAGTTTGTAGATGGGAAGGCTTTCTCTTTGCTCCAAGATGGACAGCTGCGTTTTCTTTCCATACGAGGCCTTGTTCCCCCCAAAAGCATGCTTCTTCCACTCTGGAATGTCATTAGGCATCATTCCAATCCCCCTCATGTTGGCAGCAATCTGTCTACCATCAGCTGGAAGAGAGGATTAATGTGTTTGTTATAACCCAATTACAACACTCCACCTAAAACTAAGCAAGATCCCAGTCGGATCAGTAGGGTTACAAGGAAAACTTGAAACTACTGAGGATCTACAGAAAAAATAAACTACAGAGTATTGGACCCATCGGCTAAATGGGGGGTTGCAGGAAGCCAGATAGGCATCTCCTGCATTAGGAGGCCTAATTTCTGCCAGCACTGAGGAAGTCTGATGGCTCAGACTGGCCTTTGGCCCTAATAAAGCAGGACCAAAACACTAACACAGAATAAATAAAATCTTCCTAAAGATTGGCAGACAAATCCAAACAGTATTTACTATCAAAAAATATTAAATTAGAAAAGATTGAAGTAATCCGAACTCTAACGAAAACACGAGTTCAGCATCAATTTATGAATCTTAGAAATAATCTAACAGGCAGATCTAAGGGCTTCCTAACCGTCTGGCAGCGGGTCCACCCAGTGTTTGTTCAGCCCCATGGGGATAGAGTCCATTTCTGCCTCTCGAGCGGCCTGTTTCAGCTCCCGTCTCTCTTTAGCCAGAGCGCTTTGCATCATGGCTGCCTGTGACAGCGAGCCGTCTGGATTCTGAGAAGACAGACGGATTACCCATAAAACATCCAGCTGTAATTCTAGTGCATTGATCAAAGCAGCAAATCAAAAACAGCAATTAAGAGGACAAGCATCAGCTGACAATTCTTTCCTTGAAAGTTTAAAAACAACTTAGCATATGGTCTAACATTTTAATGTATATAAATCAAAGGATTTAAGCCTTCTTCATTATATTGTGATATTTTTGTGAGACTGTATTGACAGTCTCACTCAAAATTACTTTAAAATCACCGACATTCGCTGAAAACAACCCACAAGCGTTGCTGGCGCCATTTTTGTTGTATTGTACACATTCTCGCGTGATTTTCCACCAGATTGCGTGATTTTTGTCCGGAGCGAATCAGGCACATCTTTTTCGACTTGGCAGGCTAAAAAACAACAACAAGGCTATTTTACCCTGCACCCATTTCACCCACCACCCAGATAACCCTAGATTAAAAATTATTTGTCAGGGATTAGGAAAATTGGCATAGTTGTATGCCATGCGCACAGTGTAAATATGGCAGTCTTCTGTACAGTGATGCAGGTCATACATTAAAAAATGTTCATTAAATTTTTTTCTCTCAGACATTGGAGATGTGCATTTAAATGTTATAGAGCTAAACATGTTAAATTGGTGAGCTGTTATGTTATTATTATTGTCTTGTTGCTGCATTTATTTTCTCAGGGAAAACTAATCCAGAGTCAGTTAAAAGTCAGGGAATTCTGAAATGATGTAAGACTGTGGAAACTCTGAATAAAATAACTATGTATAAAGATTCTCTAGAAAAGTCACATTATATTAATAGTATTATCTTGTATAAACATACCGTGACTCTAAAATAAAAGTTATTCATTTGTGACATTGACTTCTATCTTGTGATTTATCTTAAGTTTTTAACCTGTCAAGTTTTTTGGGGGGGATTTTTAACAATACAATTTATATTTTTCCAAGCACACAACAGTTTAAAGCAAAGTTTAGTTTGAAAAGAATGTGCAGAAAGGATTGAAAAGCATGTTAACACGGTAATGTAGGCTTGAGTTCATTATCTGACGCATGCAGATACACACCAGGAACCTGGAAACTTAAGAAATACAGAATTACAAAAAACAATTTTTAAAAAAAAGACATGTTTCATTGATATATATTACGGCATGAATATTAGAAACTATATTTATCCAACATTATACTGGGCAAGTAAAAATTGTTTCTGGGCAAATAAAATGTGAAAGTCACTTGCCCAAAGGGCAAGTGGTAAAAATCCTTAACATCAACCCCTGATTGAGTAGTAGTAGTCCCGAGGCCCAATGTATGAAATTAACCAAATCCAAGGATAAAAACCTGTGCCGTCTATTTCTATTTCCCGTTTCTCAGGTACTCAGGTGACAAACTACAAAAATGAAATCTAAAATATGTCTTTAAAGCGTTACATGATAGAAAAAATACAAGAAAAGCCTCCAATAATGACCCATTTATGTACTGTGTGAGTAAAAGGCCACCCCTGCTGCCGTACCTTAACAATTTTAACTGGGCTCATATCCATGCTCTGTTTGGTGTGTCCTCTTAGAAACGGTGGCTCCTCTTCAACAAGCTCGATTTCCAGGTCCTCGTCTGTTTGAAATCAACCAACAGGAGAGCAAACAGTGACATGTTTAAAGTTGAGCATGAGCCAAATATGATAACTGATCAATTCACTGTGTAAAGTAGAAATAACACATAGGATCACATGTTGTTCAATGACATGGTAATAAACATCTTACCTCACAACTACCGGATAATATGTTTAACTAGAGGTGATTTTGCCCATAAATTGTTCTACTACTTAATTTCTGATAAAAACAAGACTTCATTTTAAGAAAATTCATCATTTAAATACATTCATAATGCAAAATAAAAAAGGAAAAGAAGTAGACCACTGCCTACCCTCTTCATCATCCACTTTAGGAAGAATTCCCGTCTCGTCATCAAAATCTGGGAATTCTTCCTTGGACAAAACGTTGGCAGCAATCATCTGAAAGCAGGAATGTCACATTAAAAAAAATGTTAAAATGCTAACAGCATGCTAACGGACAGGATTAGACCGAACTTCACACACCTTGGTTAACACCCAGAACCAATATCCTCAAGTTCAAGGACGACTTACAGCAGCATTTAACCCCCGCTACACTGTAGTTCTCATAAGCTATTTTTAGATGGCAGATCTGACTGTAAACTTGGGCTCTTTTAACTGGAACAGTCTTTATCATTAAAATGTCTTTCTTGGGTCAGTTTAGGCGAGTTTCGTCTTCACAGAACAGAAGACTTTAAGATTAAGTGACATGCTCTGTCTACTAATTACATGATTTCTAAAGAAAACTGGACATACATATTTTAAAACATTAGAATCATTCTGTCACTTATTTATTATTTTTGTTTTTATCCTTAATAAAGAAGAGTTTTTCCTCATGGGAACAGTGAGGGCTGACCTGTTTAATCTCCCACTTCTCTGGGTCAGAGATCTTGGTGAGCCTCTTGCGCTCCAAGGTGTCGTCCTGCTCCATCTCGGGGGCGTGGCCCAGGTTCAGGTTACTCGGTCTGTCGGGGTTCCTCATGGAGACATCATCTCCTCCTTCTGGACCCATATTCCTTCTCCTGTTGGGGTTGATATCCTCTCCGGTGTCCTGGTCCACATCCTGGTAAGAAAAAAAGTCAACTAGTTAGGGTAAACCACATACACTTAGTATCTTTAAGTGGCAATACTATTATTTCATGTATCATGAACTAAATTTAATAATATTTTAATTATGCTGTTTGATCTTACCTTCATACTTAGGCTTGTCTTGGAGCCAGTGAAGGAGAGCACCTTCACTTTGACTCTTTGGCCCTTGCTGACAACGTCGGCCACATTAGCGACCCGACCCTCTCTGCGCAGCTCTGAAATGTGGACCAATCCCTCCCAGCGTTTTCTAGACAGCAGTTGGGAAGAATGAATGAGTTCAAACTGAGCAGAATGAAAAGAATAGAGCATTTTGGCCACTGATTGTTTTTCACCGGTTACTTCATGCTGACCTTAAACCCTCGAGCTGAACGAAGCAGCCAAACTGCATGATGCTGGTAACTTTTCCGTTGTAAATGTCGCCCACAGAAGGCTCCTCTGGAGGAGGCCGGTCCACGTGTTTGTCTTTCCAGCGCTCAGAGTCCTTGTCCGAGTCTTTTCTAGGGCTGGGTGAACGCTCAGACCAGCGGTAAGACTTGTCTCTTCTTTTACCATGATCTCGGTCTCTATCTCTGTGTCGGTCACGATCCCAGGAGCGGGACCTGGACCGAGATCTAGAACGGTGCCGTCTCTTCCCGTCTCCTCCCCGGTCCCGGTCTCTATCCCGGTCCCTGTCTCTATCACGATCTCTGTCTCTATGCCGGTCTCTGTCCCTTTCTCTGCTTCGGCTACGACGTCTGCTCTTTTCTGATCTGTTAAAGTAAAATAGGAAATCTACATGAAAAGTCCCAATAACAAATGTGCACTTCAACTTTAACTGAGCAAAAACTCAGAAAAAGTTTCTACTCGTCTCAAGGTTAACAGAATCTCTTACTTGGTCGTGCTGATTTTGGAGTCGCCCCCACTGACACTGGGCATCAACATCTCTAGTTCTTTTATCGCATCAGCAGCGACTTTCACGTCGTCTTCATCCAGCACCCGCTGCGAAGTTCAAGCAAAAACAGAAACTCATACATCAGATCTATTATGTATTATTTATTTTATTAATGTTGTAATATTATTACGGCCTATGGAGTGGCGGTCTAGTGGTAAGGGCATAGAGCTTGAAATCCCGAGGTTCTGAGTTCGAGCCCCACTCCCACAGATATACACACACACACATATACTCATCTTTGTTAAAATAAAGTCTAAAACTTTTTATTTGAAATAAATATCTATTTTATTTGTCGAATCAACCATAACATTTACCGTATTTTCACGACCATAAGGCGCACCGTACTAAAAGGCGCAGTCTCAGTTATGTGTGCCATTTCTGTATTTAACACACACATAAGGCGCACCGGACTATAGGGCGCGTTTTTTATATACAGGTACATGTCCTCTACTACCTTTAAATACCTCTACTGCGTATTTAAAAATACAGCGCGGGCAAAACTGAGTATGATTGTGCTTTATTCATGTATTTATTACAAAGTATTAATCAAACCTGGGAGCTGGCCGTGAGACAGACACATCGCAGATGACACAGCGCTGTGATTACTCCTAAATTAACCTAAAATCTTGAAACCTGCCGACGGAATATGTTTCCTTTTATTACTGGTATCCTGGTGCCTGCACTGTAAATTATTTAGATGAAAAACACCTGCCAGCCGCCGCGGTGAAACCGGAGGCTACCTGGCCTAGAGGCTGCTGTTGAATTAAGTTTTCAGGTAGAAAAATAGAGCGGGAGCAAAACTGAGCATGTTTGTGCTTTATTCATGTATTTATTACAAAGTATTAATCAAACCCATCAAAGTCATCATCCTCTGTTTCTGAATTAAACAGCTGCGCTAAATCAGACATGCCAATTTCCCATTCTTCGCTGTCAGAGTCACTTTCCGTGCAGCGCGGCTCCTCAGAAATAATGCCGGCTTTTGCGAAAGCTTGAACAACAGAGCCAGCAGACACGTTAGTCCAAGCATCTGCAATCCATCCGCAAACGGTGGCGTAACTTGCCCGGCTCTGCCTTCCACTTTTCCTGAAACTGTGGTCTCCGTCTGTCATCCATCGCTCCCACGCCGCTCGCAGCCTTACTTTGAACGGCCGCTTCACACCGATGTCGAGCGGTTGAAGTTCCTTTGTCAGACCCCCGAGATAACGGCGAGCACAGCGTTCATTTGATTCACCTTTTTTTTCACATCGGCTGTGAGAAGGGCACGCATGGAGTCACAGATTAACAGCGATGGTGATGCGACCACCTGGTCTCCTCACATACACCTGCCTTTCATCATCTCCTCATCCATCCAGCCTTTTTCATTTGCGTTAATATCATATGTCATCAGAGCGCTGTGTCTGTCTCGCTTTCAGCTCCCAGATCAGCTTCTCTGATTGGTCGATGCGGCGCTTCCAGCAGCAAAACTTCAATTTTTCCATCTCGAGCTGCAGCAGCGCGTTGGCGGTGCGTCAGATGCTTAAACTCTCCCAACGCGCTGCGCCTGCAGCTCAAAACGCGCTGCGGGACCTTTTGCTGCGCCTATACGCGCGTCAACCATTGACTTTGCATGTAAATACGCTGCTTCTGCTGCGCCTGCTGGGTCCGGTTCACACCGATGTCCAGCGGTTGAATAAAAGCGAGCACAGCTTAATTTGTTTCACCATGTTTTTCACATCAGCGATGGTGATGAGCGGGAAAAAAAAAAAAACACCTGGTCTCCTTACATTCCGCCACTCTTTCATCATCTCCTCAATGAGGTGGTCTCAAAAGTCGCAGTTACAACACACATAAGGCGCACCGCACATTTTGAGGGAAAAAAAAAAGACGTTTAAGTGCGCCTTATAGTCGTGAAAATACGGTAGCTGTTTTCCGAAGACTATGGCTCTAAAACAATGTAAACAAGTTCCTCTAATCAACAAACACGTTTATACATGCATCTAAATAAATCACAATTAGGGCTGGGCATTATGGCCCAAACTTTCTAAAACCCTAAGAAAATCTAGCCTCGTGAGACCATCCTGATCTCGCGAGCTTTCAAGATTTCACTCGCTGATCAGTCTGGAGACTCTCCGTTGAAGAAAATTTGGATCCGTTCACCAAACGAACGTCCAATCAGCGTTGGCTTTGAGGCGGGTTGAGGTGTGACGCAACGTAAAGCGCGACAGTTCAGTCTAAAGAACATGGCGGCTTCAGCCGATAGCCACGCTTTCAGCGAAAAAGTTGAGAAACACTTGCTTACATACTTAATGTATTTTGGCTTGTTTTTATGCACTTTAATGTACTGTATGGAAAATATGATTCTTTATGAAATACCTTATAATTGTGAAATTGAGAGGTCCTATTTTATCTTTTTACTTGAAAAAGCTAATGGAGCACTTTTATTTATAACCATTGGTTCATAACCATTAATATTTTGTTAGTACTTAGAATGCAGTATTATGTTGCATCATGCAGTAAAAGTACTGAGTAAATCTGTTTTTTTACCTCAATAAATTTAAGGTCATTCCTATTTTATTTGTGTACGCTTTAATCATTAACATTACAGGCACATTCTTTTACAACCCAAATAACAGTAAAGGGTAAAAAAACTGAGTTCGCAAGAATTAAAATGGAAAAAACAGAATTTGGGAAAAAATAAAACGGATTCTATAGGGCCCTAGCTTTGAAAAGAATAGACTTGGGGTTTTACTTGAAACGGGAGCAGGGAGAGGCTCCACGCTCATTAATTTCTAAGAAGGACATATTCGCCGTTTTACCGAAAGGCTGTTTTTTTACACTCCCCCTGCAGCTTTCTGTCGCACTTCCTACGTCACAGTTAGTTGCGCTCATTGGTCAGAGCGTTGTCTAATAGGCACAGACATGGTTTGAAAAAGAACGGGTTTTTCTCATCAACAATCTTCCGATGTCTCATTCATCTGGGTCAGACTAAATTACACATTTAATCTCACATTTATACTGGTTTATCAGGCTATAATTAGTGCTGTATATTGGTTGTTCTTATAGCTAATAGATGCTTTAGATTTATTTATTAAATTAGTTGATGATTGTGTCAATAATCGATTAATCAGGATTAATTGTTTTAGCCCTTTTATACATAATGCATTTTTGTATTTATTTACAATTATAGTCAGCAGCTCATGAAAACCCAACATTTAGAAGACTAAACAACAAAGTAATAGACTAAACAAAATTTTAAAGACAGAAATGTGGGTCTCTAACAACCTAACTCCAGCTGTAGTTCAATTAAAGCTTAAACAGAATTTGCTTCCCAATCCTCTATCTTCAGCCATATCTCCATCTTTTTGTCCTTTTTCTTAGATCTTTCCTTTTCAATAAGCTTGAATACAGAGTTTAGTAAACAGTTTGTTTAGACCTTGTTCATTTCAGAATTATGCTGAGTGAAAAGAAGTTCAAACGGAAGAAATATGAGTGCAAATATTAGCGTACCTTTGGTGATGGATCGTTGGGTTTACACAGTGCAGGAAACAATTCCTTCAGCCTGTCTTTCTCCGTTTTTGGCTTGAATGAAACATCAGAGGCTGCAGAGGAAATCAGGTAGAGCTCATGAAATTAGATCATTGTGAACAAAATGTTTGGTGGTCACTTGTTTTAAAAAAACAAACACATTAGTTCATCACATATAAAGAAGAGTGACAAAATTCAGAATCAGGCCAGTCTGCTGATCAATCTAGCACAGCTACACCTCATCATTGAACCCGTTTTTTCTAGCAAGAGCGGATGCAAAATGTATAATGTTGACATCATAAAGGGCAGGGCCACCGAGCAGATCTGGTACCTACACCGGATAGGAGAGTCCGAGTACCACCACCTCTTTGCAAAGCTGAATCCGACGTGGTTTATAGACATACAATGTGAGCAAGTAGATTGCATCACAGCGTCATGCTGAACATGCATCGTGAACTGCGAACTCACTGTACCACAAAACCACTGGTTTTCGTCGTACAGTGTGAGCTATAGCTGTGTGCACGAAAAAATAAAAATAAAAATGAAAAACTGCACAGTGTAGGCCCGGCTTAAAGCACAATGACCGAAATTGCAAGACCTCAGGGCCAGAAAGGTTTTGGTGAATCGGTGAGGATCATAATCTGAAACAAGTGATAAAATATCACTTTTAATACATTATTGAAAGCAAGGACTAGGAGGCCTACCTTTAAACTACATAAGCGTTACTATCTCTAAGGCCTGGTTCTGCTGGTGGTTTCTTCCTGTTAAAAGGGAGTTTTTTCCTCTCCACTGTCGCTGCAAGCATGCTTAGTGTGAGGGATTGCCTTCAATCAACTAGATTTCCTTAGATAGGGAACTGAATCAATTTGACTGTATGATCTGGTGAATTGTAAAGTGCCTTGAGATGACTTGTGTCGTGAATTGGCGCTATAGAAACAAACTGAATTGAATTAAGGTAAAGGGGAATATTACCTTTACTTGTTGATGCCTTAGATGGGGGTCGCATCGTCTGAATGAGTCTGAGCAAGTTACCGATGAGGGAATCCTGCAATAAAAAAACAATAAAAAATGATTCAATATGGAGCAGTTTGGGCAATAACACCTTCTTTTAGCCACCAATGCCACAGTTTGCTGACTTACAGCGAATTCGGCTCCATTTTCGAGCAGAAGAACTTTGAATCCATCGAAGCTCGGCTCTTTTTCAGCAAGACTAATAACAAACTCAGCTATAACGAAAAAAAGGAAAACAAGGTTAGAATGGACTTTAGCTTCAACTCCTGTTACCCAATGTTCAGATTAACCAATGTTAATTGAGATGACTCGAACAACTACGAAGACAAAATGACGGTTTGAAAAGCCTGCCACATATTAGCAACAGAGCTAACGTACAGGCTAGCTTATCAAGGTAGAGGACTGAAAGGAAAGTTTTAAAACGCCACCTAAATCTTTGTCGTTAATTCCCAGATGATTGTCGAGTTCCGTGCAGACCTTCGACACCAAAGATAAATATTCCAACTGCGATAACTCGTCAACTCCACCGTCTGCCATTTTCCACGAGTCTTGTTGTTGTTCAACAGACGTATGTGACGGCAGACATATTGAATGTGGACGACTTCCTCTTCCGTTGTGGGAGGAAACAGGGTTCCCGCGCTTCCCCCTGCTGGCCACGCGGTGGCGCCAAAATACAAAATAAAGTGACTAATTAGGAGCTATGTGTCCAAATGTGTTCCATGCCCTTTTAACAAGGATTTTGATACAGTTTATTAACTGTGACCCACTAAAAGGTTGAATGTCATTGTAGAATTTATTTTAAACAAATTCAACTTATTTGGAAAATACTATTTATTACCAATATGGGTTTTTAGAAAAACAAGTTCCAGTGCTTACAAAGACTAGCGTTAGAGACAGTTCTTTACTGTTTTTGAAAAATAATAACAAGTCACAGTAGCTGCACTTTATCAAATTTTTTCCGGTCTAAAAGCAACAGATATCTTTTTCTTATGAGACTGTATATAACAGAAAAACAAAGTGGTGCAAAAACAAAAATTTATTCTCCCCTTTGTCCTAATACTCCATTTTTTTTTCTCAAAAAAGCAAAATTTTTTATGCATTCGTATTTAGCACCACATTATGTTGCGGTTACATTATTGGTTTGCTTATAAAGCTTAAGCTCAGTCAGTTGGATGCACAGATCAGTTTTAACCTGACGAGCACAACTAATAACTATCCTGCAAGGATCTCCCACCTAATCTCTGCAGCTCACTCACATGGACCTCCTCGCTGCTCCTCTGATAAATTATGTTTCTTCTCCAACCTGTCAGTTTAGCCCGACAGGCATATCTTGTTAGGTTTGGAGTTGAGCCACACTCCTGTGTTATTGCAATTATGCAGATCAAAGCAAAATCAAGTCAAGATATTTTAAAACATAATTCCCATAATGTCAAAATTTTTGAAGATTTACTGCTTCTTGGAAACAAGTAACTAAAGCAGGGGACGGTAATAGTTGGAATTTTACAGAAGCAACTCAGGGTTTGTTTCTCCAGGACAGCCTGAGGCACAAAATGTTGCAAAAAAACAGATTCTCGTTCTTTTATTGAACAACATATGAATAGAAATATGTGGAAATGCTTGCAACGCTTTCTCCTCTCACACATTATTCAGTAAAGTCCATGTGCAATACAGCTGTTAATGGACATAATCACTCAGAACAGTTGACCAGTAGGTGCAAAGTAGGGGATGGCAGAAGTAGCTCTCCATTTTAACCAGTGTCAGTGCTGCCACTCGCAGCTTTTTTAATATGTGTGCCAGAATGAATGGCCTGGATGATTTTGTTAAAGGCTGCTAAAAGGGATATGTTGAGGTAAAATGGTAAAAGCAATAAAGGTCTGTTGTATATTCTAAAATAAAAGCTCAGCTATTGGCAAACAGCATTGTGCACCTTTTTATATTTTTCATGAGTTTGAAAGAGGGTAAAATTATTTTCTCTATAAATATTCAAAACAGAGCAGTTATACTTTTCAAACACTGAAAACATATCTTGCAGATATTCTCTTTAGACCCCTCTAATCCAGAGCACCGCAGTCCTTCCCAGATTTAATTAGCCAAAATCCATTCTCCACAATAAATACTTGCACAAAATGTAGTCGTGTGAAGGAAAATCTATCTAATGCTCCCAATTAACACCACAAGTAATAATGGAGACTTTTACCAGTTATTTATGAACAACATTCAGATCCCCGTTAATATAAAGCTATTTTAGCCACGTTGAAGTTTAAATAAATTCATCTGTATGATGGATGAAAAACAAAGACCCAGATTTGCTTTAAAATATACCTCTGTATCACTGTTTAGTCTATTAATGGATCAATCCTAGCAATCATGAACTCTTCCCTCACTTTAATTGTTTTTCCTGTTTTTAACCTTGGCAAGCTCACAAAGTGTCACTGAATGGAGTCATGATTCATGCGTTTGCACTTCCTAACACGTTTATCTTCCTTGCAGTCCTTGGAGGGTTTTACGGACGCTGAGATGTCTTGTAAATCAAGGGTTCCTGTATTGCTTTTATATGGATTGTCAGGGTCATAATGTTGGGAGAGACGATAAGACAGAAAGCAGATACTCCTTCTCGACTCATTCATAGAACATCTTCACAGATGCATTTTCCCAGCCCATACTTTGGATCTGTTAATATAAACACAAAGTTCTCTGTGAAAACTTAATGCAACTCACTCCTTAGAACCAATTTAGCGATTTGTTTTCGAACATGCAAGGGTTATTTCTTAATGAGAAAAACACTGGGTCATGATTACCTTTAACTATTTGGTAATTTGGGGAGAACATGATGCATACGTTCAGGACAATGTTTCTTAATTCACTTTCCTTTTTGTTTTAAGATTTTCACTCTTGACACATTATGTTAATTTATTTTCTTGTCAGGCATTTTATTGTTAAAACTAGGACTGAATTATTGTGAAAAAGTTTGCATTGAAGCTGAAATAAACTCATTAAAAGAATAGTACACCCAAAACATGATTAGCCTTCATTTTCTACTCACCCCCATGCTGAACAACACTCTGGAGTACTTTTTTGATATCTCAAATGCATCTGGAGATCTGGGAGGCTTCTTGCTGTCTGCTGACATTCAAATAATGGAGGTCTATGGTGCCCGAGGCAGAAAGGTCCATAAAAGTCCACAAAAAGCGTGTCAATATTCCTCCATACTGCTCGTCCAATGTATTCCAAGTGTCCTGAGTGGGTAGCGTCCAGAATTTACTCGAAACAAAGTCATTTAGAATGTTTTTAGAGCATAAACAGTAGTGTATAGGACTTCCTAAACGCGTGCGGATGCGAGTTCACGAGTCTACGGAAACCGCGGCAGACCAAACCAGACGAAAGTGCGCATTCAGCTCGGCAAAGAACTCATACTCTTCCTCAACACTGAAGTCCTCAGACATTTTTCTTTCGTTGTTTCTTTCTTTGCACAGGTAAACGGCACATTTCTTCTTCTACGCCTGAATTATCGGCAGAGCAGACGCTGAATGCGCACTTTCATCTGGTTTGGTCTGCCGCGGTTTCCGTAGAGTCGTGAACTCGCATGCGCGCGCATTTAGGAAATCCTATACACTACTGTTTATGCTCTAAAAACATTCTAAATGACTTCGATTCGAGTAAATTCTGGATGCTACCCACTCAGGACACTTGGAATACATTGGACGAGCAGTATGGAGGAATATTGACACGCTTTTTGTGGACTTTTATGGACCTTTCTGCCTCGGGCACCATAGACCTCCATTATTTGAATGTCAGCAGACAGCAAGAAGCCTCCCAGATCTCCAGATGCATTTGAGATATCAAAAAAGTACTCCAGAGTGTTGTTCAGCATGGGGGTGAGTAGAAAATGAAGGCTAATCATGTTTTGGGTGTACTATTCCTTTAATCAGTATTCAGTCATATTATATTTGAATCTATATTCTTTAGAAATATTTTCCACATGGGGAAAGATAAAAAGCTACGCCACTTTTCTGAGGTTGTTGGTTATTTTTACTATAAAAGTCCTGTGAACTTCTCCTTCCATAAGTTGGCATTAATCTGTTACTTTAGGATCCTCTAAAATTCTGCAGACTTTGATGAAGCCTGCCTTCTGGGATTTGCTCCCATTCTGCCACAAGAGCATTAAGAAGCTCAAAAATAAGAGATGAAGGAAATGGCTCTTGGTGATGTTGGTTGAATTTGACTTTAAAGAACGCAGTTTTAAAACAGGAAGTTTTTTTTTTTCAACACGGCATTGACAGAAATACCTTAAAATGGCCGATTATGACTTTAACTCTTAAAGGGGAAATCAGAGTATTTAAAAAATCCATTCAGTTTATTTATAAAATGTAAATTCACAACACATGTCCTCTCAAGGCACTTTACAGGGACAATTCAATCAGATCATTAAGTCAGACTGGGTCATAGGAAAACCCGCTGATTAAATTGAGTCATGAATGAGCATGCACTCTGATCATGCATGCAGCGACTGTGGAGAGGAAAAATCTCTTTTTAACAGAAATAAATCTGTAGCAGAACCAGGCTCAGTGTGAGCGGCCTTCTGCGGAGGCCGACTGAGTTCAGAAGGACAGAATTAGACATAAAAATTAACATAGAAGCACTGATCTATAAACACTTTCTATGTTAGAAAAGGTAATGGTAAACTAGTGCCTCAGCTGGCTCTGTATGGGAAAGAAACTGTTAAACAGACAAGCTCTAAGCCAGTTAACAATATTTAGATATTTTTTAGGCTAATGCTATTAAAAATAAATACTTTAACTAGAGTATCATATTCACCCAGATCTATTATTGATACTATCATCACATATATGTTGGAGTCTGAGTTGGAGTCTGATACATTTATACAGAAATATGTTCCCTTTTAAGTTGTTTTTATACCTTTCATATACATTTTCAACTTCCTGCTGCAAGATAAATATTTTATTACTAAATCAAAGAACTTTGCAGCAACTGTGTGAGAAATTGGAGGCTAAAATCAGCCAGACATACAGCTTGATCAATTAACTTACTGATTCTATCCACAGTACAATTTCTGAGAAGACCGTCGTGAGCAGTAAAAATGATGGTAACCCCCGGTCTACCAAAGGGATAATAAGCTCTATAAAACAGAAACAGAAACTCTAGAAGTGTTATATAAACACCCTATGGAAATTAAAAATGTATATTACAGGTTCAGAGACAAACTAACATAAAAAAAAATAATAATTGTAAATATTACACAGGACAGATCAATGCAGCACAAGGTGACTCTAAAGGATATGGGCAGTTTTACATAAAGTCCTAAACTTTATTTAAAACTGGCGAGTTCTGACCCAATTCCTGCAATGCCATATGATGAAACACAGTCCTAAATCGCTTAAAAAAATGAGAAAACCTAAAAAGAAGATTGTGCGAGCCATGCCTTTGTCCAATTTTAATGTCCCCACCCGGCCCCGCTTCTATATAGTTGAATATATTTCAAAACGCATGTAAGATGTTTTAAACTGTAAATACCATGA